TCATACTCCTAGAGGTTCTGATACAGCAGGTCTGGGGAAGTGTCTGAGAACATATGCTTTAACAAATTTCCAGGTGATGTTGATGCTGCAGCCTAGGAACCACACTTGAGAACCACTGTTTTAGTTTCATAAAAAGTATCAGACGTATTTATGCTTTAATCTAGTCATGTTATTAAGCCAGATTTTGAGGTAAAAAGATTTAAAAAGTTGTTCTTTACTGAAGTTCTTACTTAGAAACTACCAATATAATCACTGACAATCATTACCAACATCTAATTTGGCGTGTCCTTGACACAGAATCTAACTTGCAAAAAAAAAGTACCCCTTTTTATAGATGAGGAACTAAGGCCAGAGTGCTAATGTTGCATTTTTAAGTGACAATCCCCAGCAGTTGAGAACCTACCAGAGTGTACCAGGCACAGTGCTAGTTAAGAAAAAGATGAGTTAGATAGAGCCCTGCCCTCAGGGTATTCATTCTGGCAGACTAAACAAAATGCAAGGTGCTAGGAGAAAAGCAGAGAGAAGTAAGGTAACACCTACTTGCAGGGTAGTGCACACCGTTAGCTCTTAAACCATGAACCTCACAATTTAGATTTCTTGTAGAGTCTTTTATTAGACTTTGTTTCCTGTAGTTCTACTTCTCCAACCTGATTGTCTTCTCCCTAAGAACCCAATTTTTCATATCACTCATGAGATTCTAATAGGAGTTCCAGAAAAGTTATGAAGTAGAAGGTTGATGCGCTGACCTTCCAGTAGGGCAGCAACTGTCTCTTCATTGTCTAAAATGAAACGTATCTGAAATACATGCAAGGACCCTGGATTTTTGAAAAACATTACAAGATACCTTAATATTACTGTTTCTTTGCAGTTACGCTTGTCTAACCCATGGCCCTCATGAGGCCCAGAATGGCTTTGAATATGGCCCAACAAAAATTTGTAAACTTTCTTAAAACATTATGAGATTTTTGTGGGGTTTTTTTGCAATTTTTTTTCTTAGCTCATCAGCTATCATTAGTGTTAGTGTATTTTACTGTGGCTCAAGACAATACTTCTCCCAATGTGGCCCAAAGAAGCCAAAAGATTGGACATCCCTGACTTTTAACTGCAGATGTTTAGTTTCGGGAGTCATAGCACAAGGCTGAACATCTGGGTGGCGGTGGGGATGCACTTGCGGGGAGAGGTGGCTGTGGCTGCTCGTGGGAGGTTATGGGGAGAAAAAGAAAAAAGATGCTTAGTTCTAATCAACAGTATTACTAATACTGACTTCTTTCACTCAAGACATGTGACTGTGAAGACATACTGCAACAAGGAAGTTTTGGTAGAGAAGACAGAGCCAGCCAAGGAAATATCAGCTAAGAAAACTGAGGATCCACTAGACAGAGTAAAAAAACAGGAGTGGTTATAAGGAGGTCCAGAAACAAAAATTTCAAGAAGGGTATAGTCAATAGTTTCAGGTAAGGTAAACATTGGAAGTATCACTGGATTTAGACACCTTAGTCATCAGATGAACCCAGAATTAGAGTGGGGTACTTTACTGAAGTTCTTACTTAGAAGCTACCAATATAATTACTGACAAATTGTTACCAACATCTAATTTGGCATGCCCTTGAACCAGAATCTAACTTGTAAAACAATTTATGATTCCTTTATTGATTTATTTTTAAAGATAGGATTTCTCCATATTGGTCAGGCTGGTCTTGAACTCCCGACCTCACTTTGCCTTGGCCTCCCAAAGTGCTGGGATTACAGGTGTGAGCCACCACGCCTGGCAATTCCTTTCTGATAGATGAGGAATTACGTGAGGTGAGGAAACACATAGAAAGGATAACTGGTTTGACAAGTGTGACTGTGAAGGGAAGGACATAGGTTCAGTGGCAGCATGATAGAGATGGAAGGGGTTGAGAGACCACTGATGATTTGTTTTTAGAAATAGTATGGACCATGAAAGCATTTGCTTCTGTTGACTTGCACTAATATTATGGTAACAATAGGAAAAAATTTATTTTATTCCAGCAAAAAGCATTACCATATAATTTTTCAATTCCTTTGAGCTGGACATAAAGGTCTCTCACTTTGCTGGGTAATGAATAAAAAGGACCAAGGTCATTTGATGACGACTCAATTGTTTTCTTAGCAACATTAATTTCTTTGGATAGGAGAGTCTCTTTGAGCTGTTTACTTCTAGAGAATACTGGTGTCTGGGCCTTGGCATTTCCAGTCATGGCACTTTTTAGATGATCTTTAATACTTGTTCTCCTATTCATATCTGAACTAGTTCTGACTTTGGAAGAGGACTCATCATTTTGCTGGCGTTGCTCTATGCAATTATGGGGCAATTTCTCATTCACAGTGTTGTGAGAGGATGACTTCCAATCCCTTTTTTTCATAAACTGATCACCCAAATCATTTGAAGAGTTCCGCAAATTTTCAAAGTACATAGCCTGTGAGGAGGGTACATCATACAAAAGATCAGCTCCAGGTTCAACAGTGACATCTTCACACCCACTCTGGTTCTCTGTGTGCTCATCAGTTTGTAATTCAGTAAGGTTGCCTATGGGAGTAACGCTGAGTTTGTTTTTGATACTTTCTGAGCAAAGATTTTCAGTGGCAAAGTCTGTAGCATGTTTCTGATGTTCAGGAAGTTGCATATATTTTTGCTCCAGGTCGTCAGCTTGAGCTATAAAGGAATTTTCAGTAAAGCTATCATAGTCACCAAACATGTCCTCTTCACTGTCATTATGCTGCAAGGAGAACAAAAACACTTATGGCAATTTCAGCTTCATTAATAAAAGCTTCACCAGCCTGGCCAACATGACAAAACCCTGTCTCTACTGAAAATACAAAAATGAGCTGGCCGTAGCAGAATCCTGTAATCCCTACTTGGGAGGCTGAGGCACGAGAATTGCTTGAACCTGGGAATCACAGGTTGCAGTGAGCCCTGATCGTGCCACTGCACTCCAGCCTGGCCTGGGCTACAGAGCGAGACTCTGTCTCAACCAAAAAAAAAAAAAAAGGAATACGAGCTTCAGGCTAGGGCTGTACCAAGTATATAATTATGTGGTCACATATGGAACATACACCTATATGTAAATAGATATTATCACCAATTTACAGCTGAAGAAATGGAGGCCCAGAGAGGTTAAATTACTCGCCTAAACAGCAAGTTTATGAGTGTTGTGATGATACTGGGATTCTGAACAGGGTCTTGCTCTGTTGCCCAGGCTGGAGTGCAGTGGCTCCAGCCACTGCATGATCATGGCTCAATGCAGCCTTAACATCCTGGGCTCAAACGATCCTCCTGCCTCAGCCTCCCAAGTAGCTAGGACTAAGGTGCAGGCCACCACACCTGGCTAATTAAAAACTTTTTTTTGGTAGAGACTAGGTCTCTGTTGCCTAGGCTGGTTTTGAACTCAAACTTCTGGGGTTAAGTGATCCTCCCATCTTGGCCTCCTAAAGTACTGGGATTACATGCATGAGCCACCGCACTCGGCCAGATTCTAATTTTTTTCTTTTTTTTGAGACGGAGTCTTGCTCTGTCTCCAGGCTGGAGCACAGTGGTGCAGTCGCGGCTCACTGCAACCTCTGCCTCCTGGGTTCAAGCGATTCTTCCGCCTCAGCCTCCCAAGTAGCTGGGACCACAGGCGTGTGCCAAACGCCCGGCTAATTTTTGTATTTTTATTAGAGGTGGGGTTTCATCACGTTGGCCAGGATGGCCTCAATCTCTTGACCTTGTGATCCACCAGCCTCAGCCTCCCAAAGTGCTGGGATTACAGGCGTGAGCCACCGCGCCTGGCCAGATTCTAATTCTTAAACCTGTACTAAAACAGCAGGAAGACTGCTAGATGTCTACGAAATGTCAGCGCATTCGATGTTTCTGATAACTGCAGCTCTGCCCGCCCAGGCTCCAATATACAGAGACTGGCCTGTAACAGAATCATGGCTGTACCAGTAGACACTCGAAGGAGTTCTTAGGAATTTGGAATTGAGACTGAGAATCTGAACACTGACTTGGGGTGGTCTACTACACAGAAGAAACGTAAACTTGGAGGCAGCAATATAGTAAAGTGATTATAGTAAAATGGAGTAAGAACTGTAGTATCTCAACTATTCAGGGCCTGATTACTGTTGTAAAATCTAGATAATGTAACTAGTTTCACATAACAGGTCTTCAATAAACAGCAGATTTTATTTGTACAGTAGGAGCTGCTGTTATTTGGAAGCCTAGATTTGCGTCTCAGTCATGCCATTTATTTGCTGTGTGTACAACTTTTATGCCTAGGGGTTTACATTTCATATTCATACAGAAATGTAAATAACAAGGCAATCAATAACTCCTAAGTGCCGATTAACAGTGGTAACGAAGACGAGAGAAGCTAAGGTGACGATAAAACTGGTCAACTCTGCATCTGGGAAGGATGCCAAACGTTTGCAGTTTCAAGTTCCAAGCCCTCCGTACCTGGTCTCCCATCCCTCTGTCAGTGGGCATGTGACGTAGGAGGTCCGGGTTTGTATCACCACTTCCGAGGACAAGACAATCAGGGGAATCTGAGAGTAGACAGGGTTGTACCTCGACCGGTATTACGCCCGCAGTTTTCCGCCGCCTGTTCTCAGCCACCATTTCCTCCTCCTTCTTCTCTTCATCTCCGCGCTCGAGCTTGGCCGCGGTGGGAGCGACAAAAACGCACCCCACGCTTGGACGTTTCCTTTTGGGGAGAGACACCCGCCGGCGGATGCGGGAACCACCTTCATCCATGGCAAGGGTCCAGGGCCCTATTCAGAAGTCATTCTAAGTGACCCAGACGCTAAACCCGAATGGAAGTGAGAGTAGGAGGAGGGCGCTCCTTTACATCCACCTTGGGAAAAGCCCCCAAGTTAGTTCTCAGGGCTCGCGGACCGGAAGCAAACATAAATGTCTGCCCTCTCCTTGTCCAATCATAAGCGGCACGTGACCTGCCACGACGTGAGGGCCAGAACCAAATGGTGCTGCGCATGCGTATTGAAAACCTCACCAATTCTCGTGGGTCCTGAGCGTTCTCCCGCGGAACCTTTGAACCGGGTACTCAAGCCAACAGGGGAAGAGCAGCGGAAGGGACTTTTCGGAACGACTTGGAACTAAAGGAAGTGGATGAAACGCGGAATCATGGCCACTATGGTTGCTGTTTGTGGTGGTCTAAGGAGGAAGAAGTTGACACACCTGGTAACCGCTGCTGTCAGCCTTACACATCCCGGGATTCACACTGGTAAAGTCTCCATATCATATGCTCCATTGTAGCGTTGCAGACATGACCTTAGTCCTAATGGTTGGTGGAGTCGTCACTGTCATCAAAACGACTCTAGTTTCTAGGCGATTAAATTTCTCCAAGATGGATGGGAATCTTTAACTGCCCATGGCTAGTTTTAGTGTCTAGTCCACTCCTTTAAAATATTTAAACGTATGAGGAAGTTGGAGTGGTTATTAAAAAAGTAGAGATCTCTGGATAATCTTAGCGAGGAAGGGACATTTCCACAGTCGCCCAGCAGCAAATTCCAGATGTCTAAGGTTCCCAGGCAGAACGAAATTGTGACAGAGGTCTTCACATCTATATATTTGCAATTTTATCTTCTCTGTAAGTTATCTCTGGGACGGGTCTGTTACTCATTTTCTTTTTGGTATGGCAGTGCTTGTTGCTTCTCCTGTAAGAATTTGCATTAAGCATTTTCTCTAACCATGGAATGAAGGGAATGTCAGAAAGAGAGCAGATGAGTGGTTGTATGGGCGAGAAAACATGTGTTTTCCCCCAAAGCCCTGGAATGCACACCCATGTTAAGTCTTAATCTGTCCCAAATATAAATTAAAGGTACTTAACCAGTCATTCTGAATATAATGAATATAAAACCATTCTTTCATATTGTGTCCCTTAATTCATTCCGTCTTCATAAAAACAAAAATCCTTAGCTATTCACCTAAGAAAAAGAAATCGTTAATTGCTGTTTCTGTTTAATTGCAGTGCTGTGGAGAAGAGGTTGTTCACAATATAAACAGGTAGCCAGCAATGAAGACCTGGTAAGAATTTTTTTTTTCTGTTAGTAAGGCACTTGCAAATATGACCAAATTATAATTTTTGAATGAGAACTGATATTACACTCTAACATCTTTTATTTTAGCTACTCGAATAGAGTTCTGCTGTAGGACAAAACAATTAGATAATAATTACTCTGAATTCAGAAATTATGATGAATTGGCATCAGTTAGATGAGTTTTGAAGTAAGGGAATTCCTAGCTTCCCCTACTTTGCAAGAAGCAAAGCTGCTATAATACCATATTTTTCTTCCTAGATCTTAAATTTAAGAATATGTCATTTGGGAATTGTTTATTATTTTTTACATTATTTTATTCTCAAATTTATCACCATTATTTTTTTATATAGCCCTCTGTAAGCAAATGATTTGGGAATTTTTAAAGGTAGTTTGGGTGAGTAGAATTTTAGATAACTGAAAAGAGACTGTACAAAGCTTAGCTGTATATTCACATTTTTTTCCTACCTTTGTCTCATTTGGAGGGCTGCCTTAAGAAATTAGGGATCAAGGCTGGTGTGGTGGCTCATGCCTGTAATCCCAGCATTTTGGGAGGCTGAGGCAGGCAGATCACAAGGTAGGGAGTTTGAGACCAGTCTGGCCAATATGGTGAAACCTCATCTCTACTAAAAATACTAAAGAATTAGCTAGATGTGGTGGTGCATGTCTGTAATCCCAACTACTCGGGAGGCTGAGGTAGGAGAATTGCTTGAACCTGGGAGGTGAAGGTTGCAGTGAGCCAAGATCACACCATTGCACTCCAGCCTGGGTGTCAAGAGTCTGAGACTGGCTCAAAAAAAAAAAAAAAAAAAAAAATTAGGGATCAAAATTAAAGTTTTACACCAAGACATTAAATACAGTTTACTCTAACCTGTTGGCATATTTTTATGAGTTTAAAGTATTAGTATGGACTTGAAAGCACAGGTTCTTACTGCATACAAAGGTAATTTGACACTAAGACTATACAAAGCACTTGCACAGAGCTGAGGAATGTAGTCATGAGAGCTGAATGTAAATTGGAAATTTTGGAGGAATTGGAAAAAACAAAGGAACTTGTCTAGTTTCTCTGAGCATGTGTCTTGGTAATCTGATTAACCCCCATACTTTAAGAAAGTAAAGGGACTTTATTCTTTTTAGTTCATAAATCCCTTTGTCTCTAATCAAATTTATGGATCCTCTCCACAGAAAAAGGCACACAGTCCCATTCATTTGAAATTTTGCATACAATTACAGGGAGTCATGGGTTTCAAAGCCATTTCTAGGTTGAGAACCTCCATCCTGGAGACAGCCATACTGATAGTAGGAGGAAGGCACTGTGACAGAAAAATAGAGGCAATAGTGATAATAGAAAAGCCAAAAAGGCGGATGCAAACTTATATAGTAGTCTGGGATGATAAAGAACCTTTTATTACAGTAAGTCATGGGCCATTATCTGTGTATAAAAATAATGATAAAATACTTGATAGACATGGGGATGGATAAATTAGGGATTGCACTCATTTAAGAATGGCATGTTATCTAAAATTTTTTTCATTATCTACAATCTGGGCAAAGCATTGAAACAGTCACTTTCTTATCAGACATAATTTATTTTTCTGCCATAAACCCTTTTATTCTACAAAGATTGTACTTTATTCCTGAATCTTCCCATGAGCTAATTTATAGACTAAACTGAAACAAAATAAAATGCTTGTACAAAATATGTACACCATAAGAAAGGTATAACGAATCCTTTGAATGGATTTGAATGTAGAATAGTAACCTTTTAAAATTCAGAATGAACACATCCTATTATCAGACTTTCCATTTTTTTTCCTAGCCCATTCCAATGGAAAACCCTTATAAAGAACCACTTAAGAAGTGTATCTTGTGTGGAAAGCGTGTAGATTATAAGAATGTACAGGTGAGATCTGGTTTTACTTCACTATACTTTATTTTAGGATTTTGCTTCTGATAGATCTGCTTATAGAGAATCAAGTCAGTTTATAGAAGGCTTTTGTAGAGGTAACTGTTTTTTAGTAACTTCATAATTTCAAATCTGGTTATAATTCTATGTATAAGTTTATTTCTGCTTTCTTCAAGTAAAAGCACCTTGGCTCTTCCTCATTTACTATTATTACCACTTTTTTTTTTTTTTTTTTTACTGCCCCAAACATTTTAATAGTTCACTATGGTGGTGATTCTCAATTGGTGAGGGCCAGAACTTTGGAAAAAGCTCATCTGATGAAGCTGATCTCCTTACCTCACCATCCATATCACTGCTTCACATATTATCTCGTCTAACTCTCAGCAGGTTAGAAGTTCAAATTTGGGGGAAGTGAATGGCACTAGAATTCTATATATTGGCTGGGCGTGGTGGCTCACACCTGTAATCCTGGCACTTTGGGAGGCCAAGGCAGGCGGATCACCTGAGGTCAGGAATTTGAGACCAGCCTGGCCAACTTGATGAAACCCTGTCTGTTAAACATACAAAAATTAGCTGGGCGTGGTGGCGCATGCCTGTAATCCTAGCTACTTGGGAAGCTGAGGCAGAAGAATTGCTCGAACCCGGGAGGCGGAGAGGTTGCAGTGAGTCGAGATCATGTCATTGCACTCCAGCCTGGGCGACAAGAGTGAAACTGCTTCAAAAAAAAACAAAAAACAAAACAAAACAAAAAATGAATTCCGTATATTGACAGTAGTATACAGTAATAGCTGCCTTTGAGGGAAAAACCAAGAAATTACAAACACACATACTAGGAAGATTATGTAAAGTGCCAAGAACAATGACTAGCACCTAGAAAATTCTAAAGAAGCATTTAAATTAATAAAACATAAATTACAGCAAATGCCTGGTATACTTGTACCTCCTGAAAATCTCACTACCCTCTGATAATTTGTCTTAATGATTATTATCAGAGGGTAATGTGATAGCCTGTCCTGATAGATGAAATTTTTTAGTAGCTTGTTTCAGCAGTGTTTTAGAAAGTTATCTGCGGAAGTCAAGAAAACAGATTTAGCATTGAATGAATATGCTGATTAATCTGCTATTTAATTATATATAGACTTTTGACATATGGGATAGAAAATACTACTTCAGAAGATAACAGGATGGATAACAATATTTTTTCTCATATTTTATGAAATGTGTCTGAAATTTAGTAAAGCTTTATATAACTTGAAGGCTGTTTTTTGAAATTTACACATTTAAGAATAAATAACAAATATTTTTTTTTCCCCTCCAAATAAAACTCCAAAACAGCTTTTGTCCCAGTTTGTTTCTCCATTTACTGGATGCATTTATGGAAGGCACATTACAGGTATTTTGTTTTTTATCATGGGAATTTAAATGCAGATAAGAATTATATCAGTCTACTTCTGTCATTTAAGAAAACTGTCAAATTTTCAAATTGTGCTGTAAATTACTATTAGATCAGATACTAGAGGGACTAGAGCTAGGTATTCTGAAAAAGCCTCTTAGGCCAAAAGGATTATTATTTTGCTGTCGTATGCAGAGTTTAACTATATAGAAAACTTGGGGTTTAAAAACTGTTTTCTGATGTTTTGGAATATCCTATACTCATTCCTAGATTAATACTTAAACTTAGTATGAGCAGATTATGGCTCATAGGCCAAATCCGACCTGTCCCCCTTTTTTCTTGATTGGGTTCATCATAAAAAAAAAAAAAGCATACAAATGCCACTTTTGTTTTTGTTTGAGATGTAGTCTCACTCTGTCATCCAGGCTGGAGTGCAGAGGTACAATCTCAGCTCACTGCAACCTCTGCCTCCTGGGTTCAAGCGATTCTCTTGCCCAGCCTCCTGAATAGCTGGGATTACAGGCGCTCGACACCATGCCTGGCTAATTTTTTATTTTCAGTAGAGACAGTTTTTCAATATTGGCCAGGCTGATGTTGAACTCCTGACCGCAGGTGATCTGCCCGCCTTGGCCTCCCAAAGTGCTGGGATTACAGGCATGAGCCACTGCACCCAACCCTACTTGTTTTTGTAGTTTTGTTTACATAGTGCCATATGGTTGTTTTTGTGCTACAACAGCAGAGTTGAGTGATGGTGTTAGAGACTGTATGGCCCACAAAACCTGGATTATTATTATTCTGGCCCTTGACAAAAATGATTTACAAATCCTTGACTTTAAAAATTGTTGTGAGGCCAGGCACTGTGGCCCACACCTGTAATCCCGCACTCTGAGAGGTCAAGGTAGGTGGATCACCTGAGGTAAGGAGTTTAAGACCAGTCTGGCCAATATGGTGAAACCCTAACTCTACTAAAAATACAAAAAAATTAGCTGTGCGTGGTGGCACATGCCCATAATCCCAGTTACTAAGGAGGCTGAGGCAGGTGAATTGCTTGAGGCCGGGCGGTGGAGGTTGCAGTGAGCCAAGATCATGCCATTGTACTCCAGCCTGGGTGACAGAGCAAGACTCCATCTCAAAAAAAAAAAAAAATGTGAACTTTAAATACTGACATTTTTTATGAATAAGATTGCTTTTTATTTTACAGGTCTTTGTGGGAAGAAACAGAAAGAAATCACAAAAGCAATTAAGAGAGCTCAAATATTGGGTAAGAGAGAGCACCTCAACAACTGAATTGAGTTAGCTGAAAGTTTGCTTATTATGTTTTGTCAAAAACTTTACTTATCTCTTTACAGGGTTTATGCCAGTTACATACAAGGATCCTGCATATCTCAAGGACCCTAAAGTTTGTAATATCAGATATCGGGAATAAATTCTATCACATTACCACCAATAAACTTACCTTACAATACATGGTTGTATGATGCCAATACTGACTCAAACCAACCTTTGGATAGAAAAGTGTTTCAGGAGTGAGGTAAGGAATGACACTGCCCCTTCATACCAGTCAGTGTCCATTAAGCACATCACTTATTTAAAATGTTAACACTCATCACATTTTACATGTTGAATAAAAGTGGTTCTGTGTGATTGTCATTTATATCTGGTCCCCAAGTAGCTCATATAAAAATATACTGTTCAATTGAATGGTGTTAAAACTGCTCAGAATGATATTCTAACTAGCAAATCTAAGTATGCCTGGTTAAACGATCTTCCCTTTGTAGAAATGTTACATTGGGACGGATAGTGGTGCTGTCATAGGAGGACAAAATATTCCTAGATAAGTCTATCCTCAAACCAGTAGTGTCTTTTACACAGAGATGATTTAGGCCTAATAGACGTTGAATGTGATAGACACATATAGACATATGTATATATGTGTATATATGTATAGACACATATAGACATGTATATATGTATCAGTTCTGAGTTCCCTGGCCTATCCCAAACACACTGGATTACCAGGCTTATATTGAACTCAAAATTATGGATTTGCTAAATTTCATGCAGAGGACTCTAAACTAGGGGAGAGATTACTGTTTGTGTTGTGTTATAGTTGTGTAATAATTAAGGCTGCCAAATTTAGCAAGTACAAATGTTTTGCAAATTTACTGCATGGTATCCAGCATTTTATCTGGCAACTCTAGCCATAATGTACTTATAAAAAATTATCACTTAAGAATTTTAATGACTTAGATACATTTTCATATAAATTTATTTCCACATTGTGAAAATAAGGCTACTTTTGCTTTTCCAATATTTTTTTTTAATAGAGATGGGTTCACTACGTTGCCCAGGCAGGTCTCTAACTTCTGGCCTCAATCAGTCTTCCTGCCTTGTTTTCCCTCAGTGTTGAGATTACAGGTGTGAACCACTGTGCCTGGTCTTACTTTTCCAATTCTAAAGAACGTGTCTGTGTAAGCCTTTCCCTCAACAACTTAGTGAAAGGTGAAAAAAGGTTTGGAAATAAAAGCATCTGATGATTGGAAAAAGTACTTTGTAAAATAAATGCACTAAGACTTAGCTGTGTATTACTGCAAACAGGTGAACATAGTGAAAAACAAATGAAATCTGGATTACTACAAGTAGCTCAACATAGTAAAAACAATAGAAAAGTTTGGCTTTACACATCAGCCAAATTAAAAAAAACCCTTTTAAGGTTAACAGGATCAAAATGTAGGAGACCGTGAATATTCATCAAAACCCTTCATCTTTTCAATATCTTCATCTGTTTCTGGGCTGCTCATTTTCGATGCTTTTTCTCTGTTACTACTATCAGTATCTGTTTTAGATGGCTTGTCTTGTGTATCTAACAGCCGTGATCTCTTGAATTGCCATCTGTCATCTAAGTCTGAGGCTTTATGCTTAATCATTTTTGGTGTACTAGCTGGACTAGCTTCAGGAATGTCTGTGTGTTCTACCATTAAGGTCAGATTGTCTACTACATTGAGATGGTGGTGGTTGTTACAGTTACTTTTAGAAACATGTCTATTTTTTAAAGACATAACACATGAATGAAGAAATTCAGAATCTGGAAAAAAGGTCCGTAATGCTTGACAAAGAAAAATGTTCTCCTGAGGGTCTTTTTGGATGTTCTTCTCTCCTAAACAAAACAGAATAATAGTTCAACATATAACATTTCTTCTACAAAGCTTTTATAATTAACTATTTGTAAGTAAAATTAAGTAAAAAAGATTTATTAACAATTGTATTGAATTCTCTAAAGTGAGAATAATATACATAATTTTAAATTCTAATTTATACACCTCAGTATTCTAAGATAAAATTGAAGTTGTGTTATTTCATGTCAGTAATATAGCTACTATAGTATCATGTTCTTTAAAAGCAAAGAAAGGGCCAAGTGCAGTGGCTCATGCCTATAATCCCGGCACTTTGGGAGGCTGAGGTGGGTGGATCACTTGAAGTCAGGAGTTGAATACCAGCCTGGCTAACATGGTGAAACCCTGTCTCTATTAAAAATACAAAAAATGGGTGGGTATGGTGGTGGGCACCTGTAATCCCAGTTTTTCAGGAGGCTGAGGCAGGAGAATTGCTTGAACCCAGGAGGCAGAGGTCGCAGTGAGCTGAGATCATACCACTGCACTCCAACCTGGGTGACAGAGCAAGACTCCGTCTCAAAAAAAAATTAATAATAAATAAAAAGCACAGAAAGTAAAGATGTGTTATTTTTTCTTTTTTTGAGAATAAGTCTGGATCTGTTGCCCAGGCTGGAAGTACAGTGGCACGATCTCGGCTTATCGCAACCTCCGCCTCCCGGGTTCAAGGGATTCTCCTGCCTCAGCTTCCTGAGTAACTGGAATTACAGACTTGGGCCACCATGCCCAGCTAATTTTTGTATTTTTAGTAGAGATAAGGTTTCACCAGGTTGGCCAGGCTAGTCTTTAACTCCTGACCTTAGGTGATCCACCGACCTTGGCCTCCCAAAGTGCTGGGATTATAGCCATGAGCCACCGCACCTAGCTGAGATATGTTAATTTTTTACTTACGTGCTGCCTGAATCTGTGTTAGTCTCCTTTTTTCAATTTCTTGTTTTAATCTGTTTACATCCTTTACTAGTTTATCTACTGCTTGTTCACTATCTTCCACTTTTTTGCATATACTCTGCAAAATAAAATAAGGGCATAAATAAGATTTCAAGCTCCATACTAACACCATCTAGATTCACAAATAATATAAAATCATTGGTGGTATATAATGCCAAAAACTATTTGTCTTTTATATAAATTTATTTTCTGGAGGACCTCAGTAACAAGCACTTGTAGGTTATAAACAAGCCTTTTAAGTTATAAAATGCTTTTTTAGATATAGTAACTTCTCATTTATACAGTTTTTATCATGCCAGTTATTTCGTTGAAAATACACAGAAATGAACTGAAATATTAACTCATGGGCCAGCCATGATATCTTACCTGTAATCTTAGCCCTTTGAGAGGCTGAGGTAGGCAGATTGCCTTAGCTCAGGCGTTCAAGACCAGCCTGGGCAACATGGTAAAACGCCATCTCTACTAAAAATATAAAAAATTATTCAGGTGTGGTGATGCATGACTAGTCCCAGATACTCAGGAGGCTGAGACATGTGAATTGCCTGAGCCCAGCAGGCGGAGGCTGCAGTGAGCCAAAACTGCGCCACTGCACTCTAGCCTGGGCAATACAGTGAGACCTTGTCTCAAAAATAAAGGAAAAAATTTAACTCACTTTGAAACAAAAAATACAGATATACATTTAACACTAATACAAGTAAAAACAAAGTGACTGTACCTTACTATTATGAAAGGATACTATTGAAGATTTTTTTCCTATAAAACTACTTTTGAAAAGCAGACCAGTTCTGCCTGTCTTTAGTTTTAAAAGTATGAATACTGGCCAAGTGTGGTGACTCATGCCTGTAGTCCTAGCACTTTGGGAAGTCGAGATGGGTGGATCGCCTGAGCTCAGGAGTTTGAGAGCAGCCTGGGCAACGTGGCGAAACCCCGTCACTGTTAAAATACAAAAAAATTAGCTGGGTGTGGAGGTGTGTGCCTGTAGTCCCAGCTACTCGGGAGGCTGAGGTGGGAGAATTACTTGAACCCGGGAGGTGAAGGTTGCAGTGAGCTGAGATCGCGCCACTGCACTCCAGCCTGGGAGACAGAGCAAGACTCTGTCTCAATAAATTTTAAAAAAATTTTAAAAAGTATGAATACCAATAATCTTTGACCCCATAATTCCATTTGGGAATGTATCTTAATAACAATAAAAATCTATGTAAGATGATGTTTCTTAGTATAACGTGAAACAACTGGGGAAGGGGAGAATATTTAAAAAAAAAATTTCCAATTGTAGGCTAATAGTTGTTTTGACAGTTTTAGTGGATACTTTTTAGGATGTCGGCCAAGCCTACTTTTTAAGAACATTTTTGCCCTGACATAACAGTTTGCCAGTAACCTCTGTACCCACCTTTCACCCTAGCTGACCCAAGTAGAACTAATTAGATTCTTGCCTGGCAATTTGAAGGTATTACATAGCCAACTGGAAAATCCCATGTTCTAAAAGAAATCTAAATGCAGGAGCTGTGGGTTGGCTGTTCTCTGCCCTGGAAGTGGATGAAGAAACAAAAAGGTCTGGAAGGATAGCAATGTGCAGACACAGAAAGTTCTATTGGCATTCTAGCTCCTGGTTCCAGTTCCTTACTAAAGTTCAGCTGCTTTCTGTCTACAGTTCCAATGATATACCTCTACATTCCCTATTTTAGCCCAAGTTGGTTTTTTCTTTTGAGACTGACTATCCCTCTGTTGCCAGGTTGCCAGGCTGCCAGGCTGAAGTGCAGTGGGACAATCTTGGCTCACTATAACCTCCACCTCCCGGGTTCAAGCAATTCTCCTGCCTCAGTCTCCCAAGTAGATGGGACAGGCACATGCCACCACATCCAACTAAGTTTTGTATTTTTAGTAGAGACGGGGTTTCACTATGTTGGCCAGGATGGTCTTGATCTCTTAACCTCATGATCCACCCACCTCTGCCTCCCAAAGTGCTGGGATTACAGGGGTAAGCCACCACGCCTGGCCCCAAATTGGTATTTTTCCGTAACACTGCTCTATTAAATATACTGCCATTAAAAATAAAGAGGACGGGCATGGTGGCTTACACTGGTAATCCCAGCACTTTGGGAGGCAGAGGTGGGCAGATCACCTGAGGTCAGGAGTTTGAGACCACCCTGGCCAACAGCGAAGATTTTTTTCTGTCTCTACTAAAATACAAAAATTAGCCTGGCATAGTGGCGGGTGTCTGTAATCCCAGCTACTCGGGAGGCTGAGGCAGGAGAATTACTTGAACCCAGGAGGCAGAGGTTGCAGTGAGCTGAGATCGTGCCACTGCACTCCAGTCTGGACAACAAAGTGAGACTCTGTCTCAAAAAAAAAAAAAAAAATTAAGAATATATCAGAACAGGAAGAATTTTTGATGTATCAAGTTTTTAAAAAATCATGACACAAAGTTAGGTCACCATGACTGTCAACTATATATCAAAGTATACATACATTAAGGAAAAACTGGAGCACATGGCAGAATGAAAATAGTTATGTTAAAATGGTGAGATTCCAGGCTAGGCATGGGGCTCATGCCTGTAATCCCAGTACTTTGGGAGGCCAAGAAGGGTGGATTGTTTGAGCTCAGGGGTTGGAGCCAGCCTGGGAACATAGTGAAACCCTGTCTACACAAAGTACAAAAAACCAGCTGGGCGTGGTGGTGCACAACTGTGGTCTCAGCTACTCTGGAGGCTGAGAGAAGAGGATGACTTGAGCTTGAGAAGTGGAGGCTGCAATGAGCTGAGATTGTGCCACTGCACTCCATCGGGTAACAGAGCAAGACACTGTCTCAAAAAAATAAAGAAGATGGTGAGATTCTGGATGTTTCTACCATCTAAAATTCCTGTATCATTCATATGAACAAATAGTATAATATGAATCAAAATGTTTCAGCTGCTTTTCTGTTAGTGTGCTCTACTGATGAGTATGGTGGCCATGGAGATATACTCCTTAGATCTCCAATTGGGGGAAGCATAGCTGACTTAGCCCCAGCTTTGGATGTACCACTGTGTTTGCTCTTAAGCCACCCTGGGCTCTTCCTAGCCAATGACTGAGCACAGTGCAGGTATTAGTGCAAGTCCATGCCTACAGAACAATTTTGGGGTAACTTTGCTCAAGGACTCCCCATCAGCCTAGTGGAACTTTCTTAAAATGGCACTGCAGTCTGAGACTCTTCTTAACCACATGTCCTCTTATCCCCCTCTCCTTTCTCAGGGGTCAGACTTGCAGTATTTTCTAAAGGCTCTTCCTGCCTCCTCTTTATCCTTCTCAGGTCCAATAAATCTCCTGCACTTATAATCCCCATCTTGATATCTAGTTCTCAAAGGACCTGAACTGACTCATGAAATAGAACTTAACACTGCTGTATTGTTCCCAAGTATACTTCCCTCTATTCTGTAAGAAGGATTACATATCCCTGCCTATTACCATGAGATGTGTTCAGGCCAATGAAATCTGAGAAGTGACATGGCTGTTTTAAGCAAAGTTTTAAGAGCTGTTGTGAATTTCCACTAGCTTTCTTACTCTTTGCCTTATGCCATGAGAACATATCCCAAATAAGGGCTGCTCCTTTAGCCTGGATCTTGGATGAAGATGACATTCAGAAAAGGAGTAGAGCTGCAACTAAGATACAATGTTAGCAAGACTAAACCATGGTTGTTGTAAGCCAGAGATTGCAATCTTTGTTACTACAGCTAAAGAAGTACATCTCAGTCAATGAAGCTAAAGAAGTATCTCATTCAACAAGGGACAGCATCTATGATGGGGTCACAAGATTATAATGGAGCACATACAGAAAGCTGATTATAGCACTTGATATTGGCATTTCAGTCAAATAGGGTAAATTACTGATATTCAGTAATAGCTTGGGGACATGTGAAACTAGAAGTAAAAATACATATACTATATAGGTTTATGTAAGTATATGATATTTGCACAATGATGAAATTGCTTAATAACACATTTCTCAGAAGGTATACCCCTCATCAAGTAACTCCTAACTGTATTAATCTAATCAAGATGTCAGGTTATCCCTAAAACATGTCAGTCATTAATTTGATATGAACTCTATCTAGAAGTGGTTGAAGTGTTTGATATGTTAACTTACCTTTAATTCCTCTTGCAATGAAGCATACATTTCATTTATCTTATGTACCTCCTTCAAGGATCCATCTTCTTCAAAAAATTTAGAGCTGTAAAAAATTACCACTTCCTCAGGCAAATACACAAAACTCATTTTAATGATAAGGTGAAAAACTTGTTCGTAGTCAAGGAGCAATGGAAGATTCTTTTTAGTGGTTTTGTAGGAACCATAATTTTGTCAATCTCTCTGTATACAGAGAAACCAACCACAAAACCCTACTTCATTGATCTTCACATTAGCAAACCTTTTAGCCTCCTAAGTACTATTGCCAGGTATCCCAAAAAGGTGAGGATGGAGGAAGATTGCATAAAAATAGATAAAAATTGAAGGAAGAGGCCGGGTGTGGTGGCTCACATCTGTAATCCTAGCCCTTTGGGAAGCCAAGGTGGGTGGATCACCTGAGGTCAGGAGTTCAAGACCAGCCTGGCCAAATGATGAAACCACATCTTAAAAAAAAAAAAATTGAAGGAAGAAAAAAAATTCTCTTTATTGGCAATGGGAACCAGAGTCAATTTTTAAAATATTTTACTGAATTTAAGTTACTGTTAATTGAAAGAGGCATCATTATTTTATGATCCATGCAGGAAAAAAGTAATTCTAAGAAGGCATGATTTGTAAGACATCCCAATTTCAGAGATAAATATGAAAAATGTACATCTGAGAATCAATGAAATATGGTATTCAGCTTTTATGCTGTTAGCACTGTGGGGGCACAAAAGTAAGTAAAACCTAAGTCCTTATTCTTTTTTTTTTCCATTTTTTTTTTTTGACAATAGTCAAGACTTTCCATCCAGTAACAAGGTCCTTATTCTCATAAAGTTTACAGTCTAGTAGGTATCCTGTAGGACCAGTGTTGCTGTTTTTGACATTACTTCCTTAATGGCCACAAAAAAAGTTATATCTAAGCAGCCTATAGTGTTACTGAGTCTTGGCTAAAGTCTGATTTTTACAAATATCTGATTTCATACCTTTAATCTGAACCACTGCTTTAGAAAACTATAATTTTTAGGCTATATACTTATTCTAATCTAGGATAGATATGTTAAACTTTACAGGACATGCAACAAGTTCCTCCCACTACTTTTTTTTTCTTTTTCTTAATTTCTTTGTAGAGATGGGGATTTGTTCTGTTGCCCAGGCTGGTCTCCAACTCCTAAGCTCAAGTGATCCTCCTGCCTCAGCCACCCAAAGTGCTGGGATGGCAGGTGTGAGCCACCAGGCCTGGATTAACCACAACCTTTTTTGTATCTTGTAAGTAGACAAGTACTAACAGGAATAAGGGGAAGGTAAAAATACCCTAGTTTACTTGAGTAATGGATTAGTTTTCCCTTTCATTTTTATTCTGCTGTTGTTTGAAAAATAAGAAAATTAATTTCAAAGATGAATATAAGTTTTGTGAGAAAGCAGTTGAATCTTACCTGTGTGTTTGTACTGCTCGGCTAAAACCAGTGGACATACAGGAAGCTGATACAGTTTTATAACCTAGTTGTTCAGACATGCCCAGATTGGCAACCACTAAAGGTACCCTGTGAAAAAGTCTGACAAAATAAAACTTTAGAGTATAAATTTAGAATGCAGAGAAAGATTAGTGTCTAACTGCTACAACAGACTACTTGTCCCTTGCAAAATTAAAAAAAAAAACACACCCCAACCCATTCTTTACTATTTTTCCCAAATATAATTTACTGACTTGTGACAACTGGTTTTTGTTTGTTCAGGGTCTCACTCTGTTGCCCAGGCTGCAGTGCAGTGGTGTGATCACAGCTCAATGCAGCTTCAAATTCCTGGGCTCAAGCATTCCTCTTGCCTCAGCCTCCCAGGAAGCTGGGACTACAGGCGCCCATCACCACATTTGGCTAATTTTTAAGTTTTTTGTAGCGATGAGGTCTCCTTATGTTGCCCAGTGATCCTCTTACCTTGGCCTCCCAAAGTGCTGGGATTGCAGGCATGAGTCACCACACTGGGCCCAGATAGCATGTAAAGCTGTGAAATGTGCTTAGTATAATGGTGTAGAAAAACAGTTTAATGGCTCCTTTGATTAGTACATGTATAAATAAGCCAGTATTAATGTTGAGATTTACCCTATCTTCCATGAACAATAAAATTATCCTTAGTTGGTACTCTTTTAACTTAATTATCACATTCCGTGAAAATGTAGTTTCCTATATACAACCTGTGGCGGGGGGGTGTGGGGGGTGGGGGGAGGGTGTCCCTGTTTAGACTCATTTTAGTGTACCATCAAGAACTACTTTGTTTCTTTGCTCAGTTATAGAAACACTGCTCAAGTATCTAGGCTTAAATTTTAAATTATATCCTTTGTCAACATAAAAAGTTTTTTTCTACGTTAAATAGTAAGAGCAAATCCTCTTCAGTGCCAGAATACAAGTCATCATTCCACACTGGGCTTCTGATTTCCTTATCTGACGTTTATTTTCCCACCTATAATTAACAGATGGTAAGATCTAGTTCTGAGGGTAATCGTGACAATCTGATGTGACAATATATGAAAACACTTTGTAAGCGGCAAAAAGTACGAAATAGTAGGTATATTTTTCTAATAGTCTAACAGCCAGTGACTGGCCGATATTTACCCTTTTTGAGGTTTATATAAGGCATGTTCCAATCGATGAGTAGAGCAGCTTTCTGTTATTATACTTGGTGTTAATAGCAGAAAAACAAGGTCTTGGTTTGAAAAATGCTCCTCCAAGTTTTTGTGAAGCAGCCTCTCTCTAAAAGTCATGATCTGATCTGAATGACGACGGAATTTGTACCAACCTACCACATTCTGAAATATAGAAACAAAAGGATATATATCTTAAGAGTTACAATTCTATGTCTATTATAATTAAATAAACAACCTTAAAATGGCTTAATATTTAGATTTGGGGCATATATAAACAAAGAATACACTTTATCATATGCTTTACTTTTGTAAAATATACAAACTGACTTAAATTACTTTCCATTCATTTAAAAGGCTATAATTTTGATCAATATAGATTAAATGGAAGAATTAAATTCTTGACTTCCTTTAGTTTCTTTTACAGCATTTGCTATCTTGCAATCTTAATCTTTAGTCAAAATTTAAATGAAAGAAATATCAATGCCATTGATTCACTTAAAAGGCAATTGCTCCCTAAAAACAAATTGATGGCCTGTATGGATATTTGGTTTGTTAAATAAGTTAAGCTGAACCCTACAGCTTTTACCTAAAATTTATATGGGAATGATATCACCTACCTGACAAAGTTGGTTTCAAGATTAAGATCACATGAAAGGGTTTAGTAAACTACAACATACTAAGCAAACGTGTTAATATTACTAAACCTTTAAGTCAGAAAATAATTCTCCTTTACTTAAGACAAAGAGAAAAGCAACCGCTTTGCTTAGAGATCTGTGAGTTTCAGCAACTAAATTTTATATTTGCACCTTTAAATTGAGGAAATTAAAGTTGGTTTTTTAAAACAAGGCATTTTTACAGGTATATTTTTAAATACTCAAATAATAATTGGGAAAAAGAAAACCAAGCATTTTCAGCTAAACATGTTTTTTGAAAGAAACATCTTTCAATGAATCTCTATTTCTTTTTTTTTTTGAGACAGAATTTCGCTCTTGTTGCCTAGGCTGGAGTGCAATGGGCAACAAGAGCGACCATGGGCAATCTCAGTTCACTGCAACCTCCACCTCCCAGGTTCAAGCGATTCTCCTGCCTCAGTCTCCCAAGTAGCTGAGATTACAGGCATGTGCCACCACGCCTGGCTAATTTTGTATTTTTAGTAGAGATGGGGTTTCTCTCTATGTTGGTCAGGCAGGTCTCAAACTTCCAGCCTCAGGTGATCTGTCTGCCTCAGCCTCCCAAAGTGCTGGAATTACAGGCCTGAGCCACTGTGCCTGGCCTCTATTTTTATTTTCAAATCAGAGAGTTTTCAGAGAAAAAGTAGTGCCTTGAAAAAATTTTGTGTTTGGGGAAAAAGTCCATTTTGATTATTCAACAACTTTTAAACAAACATGATGTTGCAGAGGATTCAAATTCAGGGCTATACAGGAAACATCCCTGTACTATCTATCAAAAATAATAACTGAGGCTGGGCATGGTGGCTCATACCTGTAATCCCAGCACTTTGGGAGGCTGAAGTAGGTGGATTACCTGAGGTCAGGAGTTCGAGATCAGCCTGGACAACATGGTGAAACCCCATCTCTACTAACAACACAAAAATGAGCCAGGCGGGGTGGTGGGTGACTGTAATCCCAGTTACTCGGGAGGCTGAGGCAGGAGAATCACTTGAACCTGGGAGGCAGAGGTGAGATCATGCCACTGCACTCCAGCTTGGGTGACAAGAGTGTGACTCCGTCTCAAGCAAACAAACAAAAAAAAACAAAAATTGCAGCTAAGTAAAATAACAAACTGATTAGGTCATAGAATAAATGATAGCATGAAGGGGTGTGGTAGAAATATAAGAGAAAGAGATCAATGTTAATTATAATAGTCAAGAGAACAAAATTATTATTTTTAATTACTAGTTTTATTTTCAGAGCAACTGCTTTGAATTTCTGGGAAGAAACCTTTTCTTACCACTTTACAGAATACCATGATGTCAATCAAACACCACTTAAAAATTGTATCAAAGTGCTGTGTATTTTTAAGAACCAAGAATAATGCAGATAACACCAAAAAAGGAAGATAGAGAATACCTTTTTGACATTTGTTAATATTTTCTTCAGTGCTTGCTCATTTACTTCACCTGAAGAATTATAAAAGCTGTAAAAGCCAAAATTAAAGGTATTTCAGAATATACTAAAAATATAAATAATGTTATGAGTATTTTAAATTTTAGTTATTCCTAACCCAAAGTACCCAAAGTTCATATATCTGGCTGTCAGATGAAATCCTAAAATAAATAGTAGAGAAAGTTCTCAAATTGACTTGAAGTGGTAGAAACATAGTCCATAAAGCAACGAAAAGGAAAAAGGAATAACTTTGGAGAATCACTTTTTTTGAACCTAAAACAATAAACTATCAATGAAATACAGGTATTAAAATGTAAGTTCATTGAGAGGCTGAGGTGGGTGGATCACAAGGTCAGGAGTTCAAGACTAGCCTGGCCAATATGGTGACACCCCGTCTCTATTAAACATACAAAACTTAGCCAGGCGTGGTGGCGCATGCCTGTGATCCCAGCTATTTGGGAGGCTGAGGCAGGAGAATTGCTTGAATCCAAGAGGTGGAAGCAGCAGTGAGCTGAGGTCGCGCCACTGCACTCCAGCCTGGCCCCTGGTGACAGAGTGAGACTCTGTCTCAAACAAAAAAATATATATATATAAGTTCACATAGCCAGTTCACAATTCAATCATTTCACTCATTCATATTTTTTAAAACATTGATACATACAAAAGAATGTATAACCAGTAATAAAGCACAATAACAAAAGGGCAATTTATTCACTGCTAGTTACAAAAGCTATGTATTTTGGGAGGTGGCTTGCTTTTTGGGGTGAGGGAAGGAAATAGGTTTTGCTTTAGAATAGCAGTCTTTACTCAGGTTGGAGTACCCAAGACGTAGGAAGAATCAAAAGATAATTCTAAAAGATTCTATTTCCAGGCCAGGCGTGGTTGCTCATGCCTATAATTCCAGCATTTTGGGAGGCCAAGGCAGGCGAATCACAAGGTCAGGAGTTCGAGACTATCCTGACCTACATGGTGAAACCCCATCTCTAAAAATAAAATAAATAAATAAATAAAAAAGATTCTACTTCCAGCTTTCTTTCCTTTCCAATAACAGAGACTGCAAATAATATTTTCTTCTCATTACCATTCATTAAGATCAACAATATTTTCTATGATGGTGAAATATGTTATACAAAATCCTTTATAAATAATTTTTGGCAGGGCATGGTGGCTCGCACTTGTAATCTCATCACTTTGGGAGGCTGAGGCAGGTGGATGGCTTGAACACAGAAGTTCGAGAATATCCTGGGCAACGTAGCAAAACCTCATCTACAAAAAAATACAAAAATTAGCTGGGGGGTGGTGGTGTGTGCCTATAGTCCCAGTTTCTAGGGAGAGGGAGGTGGGAGGATCACTTGAGCCTGGGAGGCAGAGTTTGTAGTGACATGAGATGGCACTACTACATTCCAACCTGGGCAACAGAGCAGACTATGTTGTCTATTTCTATTTCTAATATTTTGTCTACTTACAGTTCCAATGTGAAAATACAAGAAATTCTCTAAATACAAGAATTTATTCCTATATTTTCCTAGAATAGTCCACTTCTGAGCTCCTCAAATCAGAAAATAAAGCAGTATATTAGGGTAAGATTAACAATAGGATATAGCTACATACCAGGTTAAAAAAAAAAAAGAAACAATGGGATAACAGTGTACATCATCTGTGGAAGCACTCGGTTTATGTGAAGTTTCTGGGGAGAAGATGAAGAGGGTGGCATTTTATGTAGAAACTGATATGCAGAATTCATGTCAAACTGCCTAATTGTTTTTGAGACAGGGTCTCTCGCTCTTTCATCTGGGCTGGAGTGCAGTGGTATGATCTAGGCTCACTGAAGCCTTGACCTCTGCCCTCAAGCAATCCTTTCACCTCACTTTCTCTACTAACTGGGACTACAGGCATGTCACCATGCCCAGCTAGCTTTTTGTATTTTTTGTAGAGGGAATTTTGCCATGTTACCCAGGCTGGTCTCCAACTCCCTGAGCTCCAGCGATCCACCCACCCACACCTTGGCCTCCCAAAATTATGAATTATAGGTAGGAGACACCATGACCTGCCTGCATAATTTTTAAAAAACTGACTTTAAGTTTCAGAAGCTGGGCACAGTGACTCATGCCTGTAATCCCAGCACTTTGGGAGGCTGAGGTGGGTGGATCACTTGAGGTCAGGAGTTCGAGACCAGCCTAGCAAGCATGGTGAAACCCTATCTCTAAATACAGAAAAAAAAAAATTAGCCAGGCGTGGTAGTGCATGCCTGTACTCCCAGCTAACTCATGAGGCTGAGATGGGAGAATTGCTGGAACCTGGGAGTTGGGAGGTTGCAGTGAACTGAGATCACACCACTGTACTCCAGCCTGGCCGATAGAGCGAGGCCTTGTCTGAAAAAAAAAAAAAAGAAAAAAAGAAAAAAATATATATATGTACGCTGAGTTTCAGTAGGCCGGTACTTCCTCCAGAATTCTGAGGTAACCAAATCAGTGTATTGCAGTGGAAAAGTTTGATTCACAATGTATTTAGCACAGGGTTAACAAACTTTTTGTGAAGGATCGTATAGAAAATATTTCAGGCTTTGACAGCCACATCCAGTCTCTATTGCATATTTTTCCTCTTTGTTTTACAACCCTTAAAAATATAGTGAACAATCTAAGATCCAGGGCCATATAAAAACACATCATGAGGCTCTATTTTAGCAACCCCTGTATTAGAGCAGGAAGAGGAAGAAACTGCATAATATAATGATGGATTAGAGCTCAAGAAACCCTTATTTTTCTAGTTGGTGCTCTACCATTAACTAGATCTGTGGCCTTGGTTAAATCATGAACTTTTCAGGCCGATTCTTGTGTTGTTTAATAAAGTATGTAGTTATTTTCTGAATGAGAGGTATTTCACGTATCTCTTAATGCTGTCCCCACCCCGTGTGCGCCCCATCCCCTGCCCAACCATGTAAGAGCTAAAAGGCTCAGGCACTGGTTTCTCATCACTTAGATGGTTTCTTCAGGCCTTAGCCTCTTCTAAGTTGGTCTAATCATTAATATGGTTGAAAAAGATAATTAATCACTTTGCACTCTTCCTTTAAATCCTTTGCTGATCCACAAGATCCTTCAATAAAGTCCTTTTTATGAGTATCCAGTAAGAATTCCTCAGTCATCTAACAAATATTTTTGTATATCCATTACACATATGGCAGTATAGGAGCTGTACCTTTTCCTGGCATAGCAGTTTAAGATCACACTAAGCTCCTTTTTTTCTGCTATTTCCTACAGTTATTTCCCACTTTAACCATATGCTCCACTGTAATTCTTATACAGCTTCAAAGATGTGCACAGTAGATAGTCTGTAAGATAGTTATACTGATTTTTCTTTTCTTTTTTTTTGGAGACAGGGACTTGCTCTGTCATTCAGACTGGAGTGCAGTGCCATGACCTCACCTCACTGTAGCCTCTGTCTCCTGGGCTCAAGTGATCCTCCTGTCTCAGCTTTCCTAGTAGCTGGGACTACAGATGCATGCCACCATGCCTGGCTAATTTTTGTAATTTTAGTAGATACAGTATTTCATCATGTTGCCCAGGCTGTTTGTTCTGATTTTTCTTGTGTGATTTATATAAATCATAAAACCATTTCATTAAAACTATACCATGCTATGGTTACATGATTACATGTGTTTGCTTTGTGAAATTCATTCGTGTACTTTTTTATGTGTATGTTATAGCCAATAAAAAGCTAAAAAATATACAATGCATTACAGCTAACAGTACTATGACTATCTGTAGGACTGAGTGCAAGTTTTCACCCTAGGAAAGCAATAGGAAATGGGTTAAAGAACATAACCAGCTGAATGCAATGGCTCACACCTGTAATCCCAGCACTTTGGGAGGCCAAGGAAGGAGCATGGCTTGAGCTCAGGAGTTTGAGACCAGCCTGGGCAACATGGCAAAACCCTGTCTCTACCAAAATACAAAAATCAGCTGGGTGTGGTGGTTGATGCCTGTGGTCTCAGCTACTTAAGAAGCTGAGGTGAGGAGGGTCACCTGAGCCCAGAAGGTCAAGGCTGCAGTGAGCTGTGTTTACGACACTATACTCCAGCCTGGGTGACAGAGAACCTATCTCAAAAAGAAAAACAAAGAACATAACCAGCTAACAGACAGAAGATAACACTAAAAAATACAAGAAGTGAGGAACAAGTTGCTAAAATATGCTGGAATAAAAGGGTAGAAAAAAGGGCTGCTATTGATAATGTACAAGAACACCTCACTTACTAAATTTATAATATGCAATGAGGTGACTCGGTGTGAGAAGGAAAAGCAATCCTCAAGGTAAACTGGTACCTGGGAAAGGTAATGAAGATCAACTTAAAGTAATATAAATACAGAGAACTACTAGGGTTGACAATGCACAAGTGATTTTTCAGCTATTTTAAAAAAGCTTTCCATTCTAATCAGTACCACCATGCATAGCTGATAATTAAGATAATCTGTTAGTTTTAAAAAACTATTTCACCTGCTGGAGTAAGTAATTTACACAATGGATCATTTACTTACTCTTACTAGCACTACTACTTACCTAAAAAGCTGATAGCATGGAATATATTTCTGAATGTCTGGAAATAAAAAAGGATTTTTAATTATTACATTAATTCAATTAACAATCATTTGAATAATATGTATTGAGCCTTTACCTCATGCTAGGAAGTACTTTACCACTGATTATCTAATTTTTATCCTCAGAAAAAATCGGAAACATATACTATCATTATTCCCCTTTCAAAGATGATATAACAGGCAAACAGAGATAAGTGGCTTGCCCAATCCAGTGGTAGGGCCAGAGTTCAAAACCCAGAACCTTATCTGGAACCACAATGCTGTATTTCCTCTAAATAATGGTCTAATAACTCCAACACAAAAGATAAATTCAAAGTTGCCACATTTTCACTGAGATCTAAAAAGGCTGTGTTCTAAATTTACCCAATTAATAAAATTTCCTGTTAAAGGAATTTAAAATGACAAAAATCTCCTTAACCAAAGCAATGGAAGAATATGTTGATTCTTCGATTTTACCTGTTTAAACATCTGTGAGAATCCAACATTTAAAATAATTTGAGCAAATGCCTTAGAGCTTAGCACTGTACCTAATACCACAATGTAGTTGCTCAGTAAACATTTGCTTAATTAAATCAAATACCCAGAAGTATGTCAGCTACTTTGGGTAGCACACTAATGCTCTAAGGGCTTGCTTTTATTTTTTAATTTTAAAAAAATAATCTTATATTGCTATAAAGGACTTGCTTTTGTTTTCAAGTTTAAATAATTCTGCTTTTATTAAAGTATAAAATACTGAATTCTACATTTTCAAACACTTATTTTAAGAATCAGTCTGTTCTCTTCATACTGCTGGTATGCCCAATACTTCTGGTCTTATTATATTTCTAAAAAAATCTTGAATTCTCTACCACACTAGTACAGAAGACATTAATGAAACTTCTTGGGCCTTCCTTGAGGGCTTTCCATTTTTCTTTCCATTTCTCTTTTCTGTTGATGTGCCCTAAACCTCTCAGCCACTGATACAAGTTCCTCTGGAATAGTCTGATTTGCTCTTTCCAGAATATTAATCAATTCAAGGGCAACAAAGGACTTGCTTTTAAAACTCAAGTGTCTGAACAACAACAAAAGAAAACCATAGTAAAATTATAAACTACAGGGTTTCAATGCTTCTGGGTTAGTGCTGTGGTGGCATTTCTGACCATGGAAGCCTGTTTCCTAGTTGTCCGATGAGCCTGAACAGCAGCAGAAAAGTACCACTGTAAGCCATGAGATTTCTGGTGTGAATTGGAAACTCTATGTATATGATGGCCTTGTCTCTATCATTGCTGAGTTTGGAACTTCCCTATGGACCTTACCAAAACACAACTTCAGGTTCAAGGCCAAAGCAATGATGTTCATTTCAAAAAGAAACAAAACATAGAGGGATGTTTCACCCTTTGTTTCCGGTGAAACATCCGAAAGAGGAAGGTGTATTGGCTCTGTATTCAGGAATTGCTCCTGCTTTGCTAAGAGAAGCATAATATGGCACCATTAAAATTGAGATATACCCAAGCTTGAAGCAATTATTTGTAGAACATTTAGAAGATGAAACTCTTAACATGATCTGTGGGGTAGTGTCAGGAGTGATGTCTTCCACAACAGCCAATCTCACCTATGTTCTAAAGATTCTAATGCAGGCTCAAGGAAGGTTGTTCCAAGGGAACATGATTGGCAGATTCATCGATATATACCAACAGGAAGGCACTGGGGTCTGTGGAGGGGTGTGGTTCCAACTTGCTCAGCATGCTGCCGTCGTTGTGGGAGTAGAGCTACCAGTCTATGATATTACTAAGAAGCACTTAATATTGTCAGGAATGATGGGAGACACAATTTTAACTCACTTTGTTTCCAGCTTTACATGTGGTTTGGCTGGGGCTCTTGCCTCTAATCTGGTTGATGTGGTTTGCACTTGCATGTTGAACCAGAGGGCAATCATGGGACATGTGGATCTCTACAAGGGCACTTTGGATGTTATTTTAAAGATGTGGAAACATGAGGGCTTTTTTGCACTCTATAAAGAATTTTGGCCAAACTGGCTTTGGCTTGGAGCCAAACATCACTTTTTAAATTACATATAAGCAGCTCAAGAGGCTTCAAATCTAAGGACTGAATTCTACATGAGCCCAGCCCTGCCAGCCTTTCTATTCCTCTTCTCCTTTCCCATGTTCGAATATATTTGACAAAGTTGTAAGTATTTACCAAACCATTGGTCTCCTAAGGGCCTCCTGATGGAAGAAGAGTAGGAGCAGTCAAAATTATTTATATGTTTGTGTTACCATGTTAACTTTTCCCTGAGAGAAAGTGTTAACATTGAGACTCTAGCCCCAGATTGGTGTCTTCTATGACAATGGATACTGATGGATGACACTGAAAACGGCCTGCTTTCCAAATGTGGATTAAATGTAATTGGTTAGCCCCAGACTTGGGCTAGAGCAGAAGGCATAGGCCAGGGTGGTTACTGCTATATATGTTACAGGCCTCTGTTCTCATTAAAGTATTTATTGGCAGAAAAAAAATTATAAACTGTATAAATAGATATATAAAACATATGACAAAAGCCCAATTTCCTTAAGTAATATGATTACAAATCACTAAAAGCAAAATAGTCTAGTACAAATGCAGTCAAAGAATGGAACAGGCCTATCCTTTTCAAAGAAAAAGACCAAGAAAAAAAGTAAAAATATGAAAAAAAAAATATCCTCTTTTGTACTTAAGAAATGCAAATTAAGGCCGGGCGCGGTGGCTAATGCCTATAATCCCAGCACTTCGGGAGGCCGAGGTGGGTGGATAACGAGGTCAAGAGATCGAGACCATCCTGGTCAACAAGGTGAAACCCCATCTCTACTAAAAATACAAAAATTAGCTGGGCATGGTGGTGCGCGCCTGTAGTCCCAGCTACTCGGGAGGCTGAGACAGGACAATTGCTTGAACCCAGGAGGTTGTGGTGAGCTGATATCATGCCATTGCATTCCTCTCTGGGTAACAACAGCGAAACTCCGTCTCAAAAAAAAAAAAAAAAAAAAAAAAGAAATGCAAATTAAATGCTATTTTTTCACTTATCAACTTGGCAAAGATTAAAATATTTGATAACACCTAGTGTTGGCAAGAGCAAGGGGGCTGGGCCCAGTGGCTCACATCTGTAATCCCAGCATTTTGGGAGGCTGAGGCAGGCAGATCACCTGAGGTCAGGAGTTCAAGATCAGCTTGGTCAACACGGTGAAACCCCATCTCTACTAAAAATACAAACATTAGCTGGGTGTAGTGACAGGCACCTGGAATCCCAGCTATTCTGGAGGCTGAGGCAGGAAGAATCACTTGAACCTGAGAGGCAGAGGTTGCAGTTAGCCAGGATCGTACCACTGCACTCTGGCCTTGGCGACAGAGCAAGAGTCTGCCTCAGAAAAATCTGGGGACCTAGGCACTTTTATATACTGTGGAGAAGCCTAAAATGGCATACGTTTTCTAAAAGGCAATCAGCTAGTCTACCTCCAGGAATCACTCAGACAAAGGCAAAAAGATATGTACAATATTAAAAAAATGTTCATGGTAATACTGTTTATGTTAACAAAAAAGAAAAATAGAAAATCATCCTTAGATGGTTAAATTATGGTATGTCCATATAATAGGATATATGCAGCCAGCAGAAAGAATGATGGGCCAAGTTTGGTGGTTCATGCCTGTAATCTCAACACTTTGGGAGGCCATGGTGGCAGGATTGCTTGAGCCTAAGAGTTTGAGACAAGCCTGGGCAGCAAAGTGAGATCCTGTCTCTACACACAATAAAAAATTAGCCAGGTATGGTGGTGCATACCTATGGTCCCAGCTAAATGGGAGGCTCAGGCACGAGGATTGCTGGAGCCCAGGAGGTTGAGGCTGCAGTGACCAGGGTTTGTGCCACTACACTCCAGCCTGGCTGACAGAGCAAGATCTCATCTCAAACACACACACACACACAAAACAAAAAAGAAAGAGTGATAAGTTATACACACAGATACTATTCTGTACTAGTGATATCTTGGGAGATATTAGGCACATATGTAAGATCCCATTTGTGTAAATATATACATTTGGCCAGGCACCGTGGCTTACGCCTGTAATCCCAGCACTTTGGGAGGCTGAGGCGAGAGGATCACTTGAGGTCAGGAGTTCGAGACCAGCCCGACCAACATGGTGAAACCCTGTCTCTACTGAAAATACAAAAAAAAAATCCAGGTGTGGTCATGCGCCTGAGCTACCCAGGAGGCCAAGGCGGGAGGATTGCTTGAACTTGAGAGGCAAAGGTTGCGATGAACTGAGATTGTGCCATTACACATATTTTTTGTTTTTGTTTTGAGATGGAGCCTTGTTCTGTCACCCAGACTAAAGTGCAGTGGCACAACACACACACACACACACACACTTACATTTGTGTGTTTTATGAATACAAGCTAGTAAAAAATATCCATGAAACAGTAGTTGCCACTAAGGAAACTAATGAGAGTTTAAATTTTTTATTTCCTACTTCATATATTTCTATTTTTAAACTTTTAAAGTAGCAAACAAAAATAACATACAGTATGAGTAGAAACTGATATAATCTTTCTGGAAAGCAATCTGCTAATGCAGATCAAAAACCCTGTGAGTGTTCATACCCCGTGACACAGTTAATACCAACCATATCTAGGAATCTATAATAGATAAAGCCAAATATTGATATACAAGGATGTTCACTGTAGTATACTTTATGATAATGAAAAACTGGAAACAGATCATTTTAACTTATTTAAAGGACTGTTTAAATCACAGTAAGGCCACAGGGTGTAATACAATGCAGTTATGAAAAATGATATTGTAGGCCAGGCATGATGGCTCACGCCTGTAATCCCAGCACTTTGGCAGGTAGATCATTTGAAGTCAGAAATTTGAGACCAGCCTGGCCAACACAATGAAACCCCATCTCTAATACAAAAAATTAGCCAGGCGGTAGGTGCCTGTAATCCCAGCTACTCGGGAGGCTGAAGCAGGAGAATCACTTGAACCTGGGAGGTAGAGATTGCATTGAGTCAAGATCACGCCCCTGCACACCAGCCTGGCAACAAGAGTAAAACTCAGTCTCATTTTCATGCCTCAGCCTCCCAAGTAACTGGGATTATAGGCGTACACCACTACACCTGGCTAATTTTTGTATTTTTTAGTAGAGACGGGTTTCACCATGTTGGCCAGACTGGTCTTGAACTTCCGACCTCAGGTAATCCGCCTAGGCCTCCCAAAATGCTGGGATTACAGGTGTGAGCCACCATACCCAGCCTCTGTATTTCTCGATTTAAAAACAGTAACTTGTCTAGGTGTGGTGGCTCACGCCTGTAATCCCAGCACTTTGGGAGGCAGAGGCAGGTGGATCATGAGGTCAGGAGTTCAAGACCAGCCTGGCCAAGATGGTGAAACCCCATCTCTACTAGAAATACAAATTAGCTGAGTGCAGTGGCAGGCGCCTGTAATCCTAGCTACTTGGGAGGCTGAGGCACGAGAATCACTTGAACCTGGGTGGCAAAGGTTGCAGTGAGCCAAGATCATGCCACTGCACTCCAGCCTGGGCAACAGAGTAAGATTCCATCTCAAAACAAACAAAAAACCACTTATGCTGACCCCTTTCAGCATAAACTATCATAAACAGGAGACACAAATGACTCAAATATAGGAGAAATAAATGACTCACCAATTGTATATACAACTTCAACATCATCCATTTGGGAATCAGTAATACTGTTCTTGGCTTCACCTTTAACTTCCCCAAGAAGAAAACCTTCCTATGAAGATAAAGAGGCAGTATATGGAATACACTGATAGAATTACTGTTCAGTCACTTAACTAACTAGTATTTCCTGAGTATTTTACTACATATACAAGTATGTGCTACCAGTTGGAGGCACATGAAAGATCTAAGATGCTTCTAGTTTACTTAGGAAACATGAAGAGTTAAATAAAAATGAGAAGAGGCCAGGCACAGTGGCTCACACCTGTAATCCCAGCACTGGGAGACCACGGTGGGCAGATGGCTTGAGCCCAGAAATTTAAGACTAGCCTGGGCAAAACAGTAAAACCCCTCTCTTCAAAAAAAAAAGTAGGCATGCTGGCATACGCCCGTAGTCTGAGCTACTCAGGATCACCAAGGCCTAGGAGGTTGAGGCTGCAGTGAGCTGTCATCAAGCCACTGTACTCCAGGTGACAGAGTAAGACCCTGTCTCAAAAGAAAAAAAGTAGAAATAAAGAGGGGAGGAAGGGGAAAGAGATTAACCTGGCCCAAAATAATTAGAGAAGGCCCTTGAGAGCAAGCACAGATTAGACTTTAAAGGGCTGGGCAATATTTGTGTAGGCAGAGCATGGAACACTCAACACACTTGCAAGGATAGAAGACTTAAAGCCAGAAATGAGCATATACTGAGCAATGAGTAGAGCACTTTGCCTTGGAGCAGAAGGAAATAAAAGATAAATTAGAGCCAGCCAATAATGGAACACCCCGAATGACTAGCCAAAGAGTCTGTATTTAACCACATGTGTTTCTGGGAGTTAGAGAAAGCTTCAAAGTTATGAAATGACATGATTAGTGTTTTCTGATTAAAACTCATGCACAATATGAAAGATTAAAATTCAGTTTCAGAGTCTGCTTTCTAAAAGGAGTGCTGAGAGCCTAATTCTTTTAAAACTACTTGTATTCTGCCACCCCAGTGGTAATTTATCTGAGTTTCAGAGAACTAAATTTCTCTAGGCACACTTAAAGACCCAACGTGCTTGACAGACAATGAAGATTTTATATCTTTTTTTTTTTTTTTTTGACAAGGGTCTAGCTCTGTCACCCAGGCTGGAGTGCACTGGTGCAATCACTGCTTACTGCAGCTTTGACCTCCCCCGCTCAAGCAATCCTCCTGCCTCAACCTCCCAAGTAGCTGGGACTATAGGCATGCGCCACCACATTGGGCTAATTTTTAAAAATTTTTTGGCTGGGCAAGGTGGCTCGCGCCTGTAATCCCAGCACTTTGGGAGGCCGAGGTGGGCAGATCACGAGGTCAAGAGATCGAGACCATTTTGGCCAACATGGTGAAACCCCGTTCTCTACTAAAAATACAAAAATTATCCGGGCGTGGTGGCACAAGCCTCTGGTCCCAGCTACTTGGGAGGCTGAGGCGGAAGAACCGCTTGAACCCAGGAGGTAGAGGTTGCAGTAAGCCGAGATTGCACCACTGCACTCCAGCCTGGTGACTTCCTCTTTAAAAAAAAAATTTTTTTTTTGTAGACATGAGGTTTCCTTATGTTGCCCAGGCTCATCTTTAACTTCTGGGCTCTAATGATCCTGCTGCCTCTGCCTCCCAAAGTGCTGGGATTACAGAAGATTTTAATATTCTTTATAATTAATAATGCTTTTCCCCCCTAAAAGTAAAAAAGGAGTATTTCCATAATATGAGTCTTTACTGGAATCATGCGTGGGGATATCCAGTATCTAGCATTCTTGATTTTGATACTCCCAAAGTCAAACTCAGGGAAGGGAAGCAGGGGCAATGCAAGTGCAACTACCCAGAAAAACCACCCTTTAAAGGTGGTTTTTCACTTTTCAGAAAAAGATCTGAGAAACAGGGGTCTCTCTAGCACTCAGGTACTTCCCAAGGGCTAATCCTTTAAGCTACAGAGGACTTAAGGATCCATTCTACCTACACTAAAGGCATGCAAAAATAATTTCCACAGCTACACATATATTTTAAATTGTCATATATTTGCTCTTTACTGGGTATTAATTTATAAGGTTATATGAAATTATGTAAATAAAATATACCAATTCTAGCAAAAACCTTTATTAGGATTGTGCTAGAAAGCAATTTTGTAATTTTTATATTTTGTAGAGACTGGGTCTCACTAGGTTGTCCCCCATGGTCTCCAACTCATGGGCTCTGGTGATCCACCCGCCTCGGCCTACCAAAGTGCTGGAATTACAGGTGTGAGCCACCGCACCTGGCCTATATTAAGGCAGACGTTATATCTTAAAATGAACTTAGCAGAAATTACTAGGCATTGTACAGCAGGATATTCTTCGAACTGTATTACACAGCAGGGAGGTGTATTTTAGATGCTTAGAATTTCTTTCTGCAAGTTACTGAAAGTACTACAGGGCATAAACTACTTCCAAGCTCAAAGTTTTACAGTGTTTCTTTGATTCACAAAACTTTTAGAAAATAGGCAATGTACTTTCAAAAACTCTTTTAACAAATTTAATAACGCAAATAAAAAGTTTTCTTATATACCAGATTAAGCTGTTCCATCCACTAAGATTTGCCAAAAAAGAGTCACTGGATGCAACACCTATTTTTATTCCCTTACCCTACCATCTCAGCAAACCCGCATAGGCGCTGCCCTGCACGAAAAAGTCCGGCTGGCTTTGCAAACGCCTGTCGGGCGTCGCGAGAAACGGAAAGTTAACCGCAGGCTCCGCAGAGCAGCGGGAGGAGGCTCCGTGAACTTTCCATCTTTTCACGCCCAAGTTTCCACAGCGAAAAGGGCGCTGAGGCAAGATGGGGGCGTGTGGGACACTTGGGTTGGAAAAGGGAAATACACGGAGGGTAGCAAAGGGAGGGCTAATGCTGGAGACGACTTCGTGGGCACGCGACATCTGAGGGACCGCTGAGGGGGAGAGAAAGAAGAACCGCGACAGCCGGGAGGAGGCGCGGTGACGTCGGGGGTGCCCCCGGGCGAGGACCGGGGTAACGGCGGGGAGGCAGGCCGCGCGCAGGGCTCTTCCCAGGCGACGCCGGACCCCGCCCCGTCCCTCGGCTCACCGTGTCCGAGTCCGTGTTGAGGTGCTGGAAGGCGAGGGCGCCCAGCACAAAGCCCGAGAGCACTGCCGACGTGTTTTCGCCGTCCATGCTGCCGCCGCTGCCGCCGCTGCCTCCGTCTGCTCTAGAGGTCTAGAGCCGGGCGCTCGGGGCCCGGATCCTGTGGCGGCTGCGAGGCGGGGTCTGACCAGGGGGCGGGGCCCAGTGAGGGGGCGGGGCCTGCGCCGGCGCAAGGGCCGCTGTGCTCTCCGCGGAGGGAAGGGGCGAGGGGGCTGAGGCCCGGCGCAGGCGGGTCACCAGCCGCGCGCTCGGCTCCTCCTTTGCTTCTGCTGGCGGTTTCTCCCGGAAGGCGGTTCCGTGCCGGCACCACTGCACAGGGCCGCGAATTGCGTTTTGGTGGCCTGCGACTGCTGAGCGACCTGTCACAAAGACGCAAAGCTAGCAAAATGAACACGATTGACAGGGTCATTTTAAGACCAGCGATGGTTACAAGAATAAAAGAGTTGCGTAGCAACGTTACGATACCACAATGGATATGCTACGATGGATATGTTTTTAGTTTTGAAACTGCATTTTAGTGCCCCTCACTCACTGAAACGTCTAGAATACTAATAACCATTTGGGGTTGTCTCTTCTAGAATTCTCCAGTCATGCTCTGTGTATTACCTTGCTTTTAGAAAACTTCAGCCTAATTTAAACAATACATGGATTTGTAATGTTCTGACAGTTTCATGATGGGCATAATCATAGTGTGCTGGTTCATTTAATGTAAGTGATAAGGTGAGTGGACACACACACGTAAAGCTATGGTTTTTAAAGGACTGAAAGTCAGCATAATATCAGACTACTGAATTAGTGTGGCACATTTGTGGGTTTTGTTCAGCAGTTGCCTTTGGCTGAGTAACACGAAATATATATAAATATATATAATATATATAAATAATTAATGCTTATATATTTATGCCCTACAATTAAGTTTCTTGCCTTCATTTTGTAGGGGTGAAGGGAAAGCTCTGCCCTCTAAAGGTTCACTGGCGTGAACTAGCAAAAGAAAAGATGAACAGAAGAAAAGGGCATACAAATTTATTTTTTACTTCTTGGAGACCGAGTCTCACTCTGTTGCCCAGGCTGGAGTGCAGTGAAAGCATCTCCGCTCACTGCAGCCTCCGCCTCCCGGGTTCAAGGGGTTCTTCTGCCTCAGCCTCCTGAGCAGCTGGGATTACAGGCACGTGCCACTAAGCCTGGCTAATACTTTCTGTATTTTTATTAGAGACGAGGTTTCACCTTGTTGAGCAGGCTGCTCTCCAACTCCTGACCTCAGGTGATCTGTCAGCCTTGATCTCCCAAAGTGCTGGGATTACAGATGTGGCCGGCGCTCCCGGCTCGAATACAAATTTATTAATATGCCCTGGAGAAAATCACAGGAGAGTGATTACCCAATAACCCCATGAGGTTCAGATGCTTATGTACACTTTTTTATAGGGGAGAGGGAGATGGAGGAATGTAAGTACTTCTGAGGGCCACAAATGATTCTTTGGATGAGCCTGAGAGATGGACGATTGCTTGCAACGGATTCTTTTTAGAAGTTGGATGAGCCCAAGCGGAAATCAATGGCTTCGGACAAAGTTCCTCTGCGCTCTAGATTTGATGTTTGACTTTCAGTCTTCTTGCAGTCAGTAAATCATGAAATTTCAATGACGGGGTGGAAGACAATTGTTGTAGGGTTGATAAAGAGTGGACAGTCGCTGGGTGCGGTGGCTCAAGCTTGTAATCCTAGCACTTTGGGAGGCCGAGGCAGGTGGGTCACGAGGTCAAGAGATCAAGACCATCCTGGTCAACATGGTGAAACCCGGTCTCTACTAAAAATACAAAAAATTAGCTGGGCACTGTAGCGCGTGCCTGTAATGCCAGCTACTCAGGAGGCTGTGGCAGGAGAATTGCCTGAATCCAGGAGGCGGAGGTTGCGGTGAGCCGAGATCACGCCATTGCACTCCAGCCTGGGTAACAAGAGGGAAACTCCGTCTCAAAAAAAAAAAAAAAAAAGTGGACAGTCATGCAGGAGTATGATTATACAAACGGAGTATGATCTAGTGGTAATAAGCCAGGGAAACAGCATGGACCGTTAGTTCAGGTTCTTCTCTGTGTCCTTGTGTCTTCAGAGGTAAGGATGTTCCTTTTCTCCGTGTAAGGGGAGGGTGAGTCTCAAATGGGGGTCTTATGACCTACTTCAGGGAAGGACAGCAGGTTTTATGGCCTGCCTCAGGGCAGATGGCCAGAGTATTCTTTCAGTGGTTTATGGCCTGCTTCAGGGGAAAAGGACTGAGGGGAAGGTGAAAATGACCTCTTTGCTTTTGCTATTTTCTCAAATGCTCAGGTGCTATATTATTTTGGATAGTGTGTCCTGAACCCCATCACTAGTTTTACTGCCTGCAATCCAGAGCAGCACAGTAGATGAACCAAATATTCCTTCAAAAGCCAAAAAATCTGGGGTACGAGTGGCAATAAAGAGAAATAGTAGAAGAGAGTAAAGGAATAAATAAATAAGTTATATAATGAGAGAAATCCAATGTTCATTAAGACCTCTGAAGAAATTGAAAGCAAGGAATGATATTGTCTCTTCACTCAATTATATCAGATGGCTGAAATAATGAAGATACATATTGCTAGGAACTCTGCTTTTGAAACCTGAAAACATCAAATGGAAGCCTGAGTGGCCACACCCTGGGAGGCATTTTCATATGATAGGCTGATGACTGGACAGATTATTAATGACTGACTGGGGTTTTAGAAATGTGCCGCTGTCTTTTAACTCTTATGATTCTTTTGCTATAAGGAATCAGCGGTCAAAGATAAAGGATTTGTCTGTAGTATAGTAAAAAAGAAAATAAAAATTTTGTCTTTGTCCTGAGTTCCTGTCACGGAGCTTCTAAAACCTTAGGAATTAATTGGTTTTTGTATGCTCAAGAATGACTCATGGGAGAGTTTATGTCTGTTCTTGCACTGCTGTAAAGAAATACCTGGCTATGAACAGTGGCTCATGACTGTAATCTCAGCACTTTGGGAGGCCAAGATGGGTGGATCACCTGAGGATAGGAGTTCAAGACCAGCCTGATCAACATAGCGAAACCCCATCTCTATTAAAAATAAAAGAACTATAACTACATACCAGCTACCAAAAAACAAAAAATATAAAAACTAGCCAGGCATGGTGGCATGTGCCTGTAATCCTAGCTACTTGGGAGGCTGAGATAGGAGAATTGCTTGAACCCAGGAGGTGGAGGTTGCAGTGAGCCAAGATTGCGCCACTGCACTCCAGCCTGGGCAACAAAGTGAGATTTTGTCTCAAAAAAACAAAAAAAGAATAGAGGCATGGTCACTTATGCCTGTAATTCCAGTGTTTGGGGAGTCTGAGCAGAGAGTATGGCTTGAGGTCAGGAGTTTGAGACCAGCTTGGGTGACATAGCAAGACTCTGTCTCTTCAAAAACTTTTTTAAAAAATTAGGCCAGGTGATTTTTTTTTTTGAGACTGAGTCTTGCTCTGTCACCAGGCTGGAGTGCAGTGGTGCAATCTTGGCTCATTGCAACCTCTGTCTCCTGGGTTCAAGCGATTCTTCTGCCTCAGCCTCCTGAATAGCTGGGACTACAGGCAAGTGCCACCATGTCCAGCTAATTTTTGTATTTGTAGTAGAGATGGGGTTTCACCATGTTGGCCAGGATGGTCTTGATCTCTTGACCTTGTGATCTGCCTGCCTCGGTCTCCCAAAGTGCTGGGATTACAGGTGTGAGCCACCGCACCCCACCAAGGATATGATTTTTTTTTTTTTTGAGACGAAGTTTTGCTCTTCTTACCCAGGCTGGAGTGCAATGGTGCGATCTTGGCTCACCACAACCTCCACCTCCTGGGTTCAGGCAATTCTCCTGCCTCAGCCTCCTGAGTAGCGGGGATTACAGGCATGCGCCACCATGCCCAGCTAATTTTTTGTATTTTTAGTAGAGATGGGGTTTCACCATGTTGACCAGGATGGTCTCGATCTCTTGACCTCTTGATCCACCTGCCTCAGCCTCCCAAAGTGCTGGGATTACAGGCTTGAGCCACCGCGCCTGGCCTAAGGATTTTTAAGCAATGATTTCACTCACAATATATCAAATTTTAAACAAATATTCTTACAAACAAATGAGTATCATAAAGGGAAATATGTGCTATCTTCACAGCATATTATTAATTATACAGTTTCTTCAAAATGAATGGAGCATTTGATGGCCATGAACATGCACCACTCTGGTTGAACCTGCTGGGGGACCCACATTTGGCTGAAAGCCAGTTTCTATGAACATTGCTGCCCTCTGACCTTCTCTGCCATAGCGTCAGTGAGCATGGGGGCTATTGATTTAGGCCTTTCTTACAAGATGCAAGATTCCTGTAATGGGACTTTGGCTCAAGGACTCTCCATCAGCCTGGCTAAGATTATGTTAGCTTGCACTGAAGTCTGAGATGCCTATCCTTCCCTCTTTCCTTTCCCCGGGTGTCAGACAAGCATAAGCATGGCTTTCTGCAGCCTCTCCTTGCTTGCTCCTGCTCTCTTCCCTTTATCCTTCACAGACACTTCCCCAGTAGGTCTCTCTCTCTTGCACGTGGACTCCTGTCTTTCAGTCTGCTTTTCAGAGCATCCAAAGTGAAACAGAGTGCTTGCTTTTTCACATGACCTATGAAGGACTTTCAGAGCCATAAATATCACATTTTCAAATATCTTCCAATTAAAAAAAACCTTCAAGGTCCACTGCCTGAGCCCCCAGGGGGACCAACGAGTGGGCATCTCCCTTAAAAAAACCACCACCAACAAAAAACCTTCAAATATAAACATACTCAAAATATTATATGATGAATTTTATTTTTTAATTATAGAAATGATTTATTTCTAATGGCAAACAGATGTAATTTTTTTTGAGACAGAGTCTCAATCCTGTTGCCCAGGCTGGAGTATAGTTATATGATCATGGCTCACTGAAGCCTCCACCTCCCAGAGTCAAGCAATTCTCCTGCCTCAGCCTCCTGAGTATCTGGAACAGGTGCACGCCACCATCCCTGGCTTATTTTTTCATGTTTTGTTGAGATGGCGGGGTTGGTCTTACTATGTGGCCCAGGCTGATCTCCTGAGCTCAAGCAATCTTACCATCTCAGCCTCCCAAAAGGCTGGGATTACA